TTTGCTTTACAACATTAAACTCTGAGGATACAAACAGACGATTAGTAAACTACATTTCAGATTAGTGTTAGACAAATATGAAGGTGGTGGACGAATCATACTGCAGAACTCATACTGTCATAACATACTACACCCATTATGTTTTCAATGGCACAGAGATAAAACAACTGAATACCTTAAAAAAAATGGTATTGCATTGTTAGATGAAACACAAACAATGTGCTGAATGATAGCAGTAGATGTGCTTTTTGTAAAGTACTTTAAAAAAATACAAAAAGCATTAAAAACTTTGCTAGAAAATTCAGTTAAAAAAGCCAAAACAAACCATGTTTTGATATCATAGTTATAAAAACTTGTGTTAAAATACAAAATTTTAAAAATGTTTTCTTTAAATGTCTGTGTTTCAGCAAAAATTACTCAAAAAGAAGACACAGTCATCTGTTTGGAACTAGTTTAGGTGCAGATTAATCTGCATTTGGTGCACTGCTGAATATATCCATCAGCAGGAAGATGTGCATTCGACTGACTGAGAATAAAACCAGTGTGTGTGCTCACCATAATAAAAGACTGTGTCAGGTTGTGTTTATAACAGTATTTGTCAAACAGCAACGGAGCTCGGTGGCACACAGAGGAATAATGGATCAAACAGATTAGGTTTTAGCTAAACAGTTCATTGATGATCTTTTCATGTACTTTCTTTGCAGCTAGATTGATTGAAGTGTCGCCTTTCTTGTCCTTCTGATGTTTCATCCACAGCTTGACAGCCTTACAAGACCGTCGTCATACCCCTAAAAAGTCCTTGTAATAAGACAGATGTGTGAATGCTAATGAGACAAGTCCCTTAAAGTTATTAGCAGCCGAGTCTGCAGTTTGATCCTGAATCCGTTTGATGCGCAGTGTCGGTTCTCTGATGGAAAAAAAAAAAGGCCATCTATCCCCAGTGTGGCGTTACTATGGTGAGCGGCTCCCGGTTGTGTCCGTTGATGATCGGCCAGGGATTGAAGTAGGGGAAAACAGGCTCTTTGAATTTTGCATCATTGAATGTGAAGAGGTGGCTCATGTCTCCAGCATCATAAAACGACACTAGGCCACGACCGTAGTCCAGGTATATCCCCACTCTCTTCGGAGGTTTGGAGGGATATAATAAGTTCTCCTCTATGTCAGTGCAAGCTTCATACTCGCTGGTGCCATTTCCGCTGTCCCTCAGCACCAGCGTCCAGAAACCATCATCCGGGCAAAGGCTGATCTCATCTTTCCTGTTGACGGAAACTGTGGCCACGCCCAGTCCCCACGCCGTCTTAGAGCCTACCTCCACCTCCCAGTAGTGTCTGCCTGAAGAGAAGGCTTCAGAGCCCAGGACAATGTTGTAGCGAGTGAAGCGCTCGGGGTTGTTGGGCAGGTTCGCTTGTAAGTTTCCCACCTGGACGCTGGTGCGACACGGGGAAACCCACAGACAAGGGTAGGCTGTGTCTGGGTCAAGGGTCACAGGTGTCACAGCTGGGAGGACATGAAAAACAGAGACAAACCAATGAAGGTGAAACATGTTTACAAGAACTGACACCACCCGAACTCCTCTGGAGTGACCTTCAGCAAGATACTGAATACCAGCCTGCGCAATTAGTGTAAGACGAGCATCAGCTACATGGACGCAAATTAAATATAAATAACGTGGCTCCGATGTATCCAGAGATTAAATAAATTTCTGGAGAGCAGCCTGGTTTTACAGGGGTGATGTTTGAGGTCATCACGGACCCAAGGTAAGCATGTGTACGCTCGACTTGTGTCGGTAACAAAGACGTTAAGTTCAGAGAACAAATGGCGTCACGCTTGAAACTCACTGCCAGTCAGAGCAGGCTGAAACGAGACTGAACAATGAGTTGAACCACAAATATGTCTTTTCTAGACGCAGCCAAATCTTTTTAAAGGAGTATTCCAACAAATTTTGATGTCACACCACCGTTTGTCATAAAAAGCATTAGTGAGTCTGTGAAATCAGTTGTATAAGGCCTCCTGTTGCTCTGCGGGGGCTTTGAAGTTGGATTTGTTGTATTGAGGCCTGTGGTTTTGGTTTTTGAAGGATACTAGAGGCCACAAGCACTGTGTCAGTGTTTTTCCCAGACTAGACAGTTAATGACTAATGAGCACTATTGTTCTCTTGACCTTGGTTTGCATGACGTGTGTTATCTTTATACCTGGCTGAAGAATTGAGCTCATTTTCCTCCAAATCCTGTACTGGAGAGGTCCCAGAAAGTCTCCAGATTGCAGGTCCACAGCCATCTCTGCAGGGCGCTCAAACAAGCTCTCTGCCCTGAGAGGGAGAGGGAAAGAGAGTCGTTTTAAAGATTATGAAACATCCAAAACTATATGCTTGTGAACTTGTGTTTTATAGCATATTCGGAGTATTTAAATACAAGTAACCTTCATTTAAGAAGAAACTAACGAAACCTTTACTCTCCACATTTAAAATGAAATTTGAACCAGTAATGTGTTTCTAGCTGGAACAATCACAACCTCTCATTCTGTTCGAAAACAACTCAAAACGGACGTGATTGCCTTGTGACTTTTGGACAAAAGTCATGATGAGATAAAAGAGATTTGATTAGCTCTGACAGAACTTCTTGGATAAGATTACAGTAGTACTCACCCTCCAATAAAATCTTTAATCCCCTGAAACAGATAAAAACAGGCCTGTGATTACAAACATGTGACTTTCATTCATTCTTTATTCAGTATTCTTTTATATGTGCTCCAATAATTAGCAAAGTATACTGAAAGATTATGAGAAATATGTGGCTCGTCCATAAATCCTTCTCCTCTGCCCCGCCTCTTCTTCTCTCACCTTGAGTTGCTCGGGATTTTCTTCTTCTCTAAGTTTGAGCCGAAGTTTATCGGCTGTAATCTCCAGTTGGCTGATCTGCTCCGTGGACTGAGTGAGCGCCTCCTCCAGCTGCTGAAGCTTCTCCTCCTTCTGCTTCTGCAGTTTTTCCTTTATGCGCTCCTCCTCCTCAACGAGGAACTCCCTCATACGGCTAAACTCTGCAGAGACCAGCTCCTCCAAATCTCCCGCTCGCTCCTGAAATGCAGCGAGGAATTTGGTCACAAAGAGCAAGAACTCAGATAACTTTGCCAGTCAGTAGGTAAAGCACAGCTGATTTGTACAACTTGTTTTTCTTTTGTAACCTCCTCGGACCTGGCGTCCACATATGTGGACATACAATTTTGGGTTGTCTAGACCACAATACTACATTTTGCTCTACAAGGGCCTGATATCTCTTACGAGGACATTATACTGCCACTGTTCTATCGAAATTTAAAACGAATGTCCCCATATGTGGATCTCGGGCCCTTGTAGAGCAAAATCAGATAAAAAGATAACTCTTTGTTTTTAAATCACGTCCCCCAAATAGCAAAAAGAAATTAAAAAAGCATGCCATGAAAGAGTTCGGGTCTTAGGAGGTTAAAGCAATAGCACGACTCAAAAATGCCCCTTAAAGCTGACAGAAACCAAGTCTGTCTTCAAAATGCTTAACTGCTTTAGAGTTTGTATGATAACGATCTCTGAGTCTTTTTAAGCTCTTCCTGGGGTGGAAAAATACCGAGCTATGTTGTGACAAACGGTGGGGTTCAGTTTTATTTTGTCACATTTGAAATTTCTGTTACATACTGTTGTTTTAATAGGGTTTTATTATTAGAGAGTTATTATTATTTAACAAGTATATTATTATTTTTGTTGCGTGTCAGTGAAAATGAGGACACACTTACTTCTCATTGACTGTAATGGTGTGACACTAAAACCGGAAGTGTCCTATTTTATTGTTATTATTGAATAAAAATACAGTTTTTTTTCTTCTCTGGAAATATGACTACAACCTTATGTTCAACAGATTAAATCAACAACTTTACACTGTGGCCATTCAGACCAGAAGTGGTTCATCAAATAGGAAAAATCAGTATTTGTTATGAGGAGACGATACATTTTATGTCATATGTGGCACAAATTATTATATCTTATATCTTACTGAGATATAAAAGTTTTTACTAGATCGATCGATTGATAGATAGATAGATAGATAGATAGATAGATAGATAGATAGATAGATAGATAGATAGATAGATAGATAGAGGTATGTCTGTATTTTTAACACAGAAAAGAAAAATTGACAAACTTCCTCTGCTCAACCACATCCTGTCATACTGACAGAGAAAGGGAGAAGTGAAGAAAAAAAATCTGTGAATCTGCATGTAAACTGGGTCAAACAGACAGACAGGAAAATACACCCGCTGACACATTTAAACACACAGATAGGAAAGGAAACGGTCTGTGATAACCTGGAGCAGAGCTAGACGAAGTTATCTGCCACGGCGGAAATGCTCCGGTGCATTCTCTAACACTACCCTCATATGTTTGTTTAACACACACAGCGTGCGTTTCAGTGAACTTCTTCCTGTGCCTGTCGAAACTCTATCAGCTGAGTTCCCTCGCAAGCTGTGTGACATGAAGCAGTTAGGGCACATGCACAGCCTGTGA